ATGATAGGGAATACAGTGTTCAAATGGAGTATGGGGGCAAAGCATCCAGTTTAGGAAGAATTTTGGTTCATATGGTGATGTTTGTGGATTCCCACAAGGTTGTTGCCTAGAGTACAAGCGATGCAATCGCTTTGTAAAAAGTTACCAATTCTTTATTTCATGAACCAGTCATTTGCAGTGGAAAATCAAAAGAGATTCTTGTATATTACAATGTGAATCACAAACAAGAAATATTGAATTCAAGGTGAGATGGCTCTGTGAAAAAAAAACTAATATTTTTATAACCAACTGAGGTTGTTTGATGGTAAAGTGCCTTATTCTGATAAGAACTATGGTAAGGTCATTGTTTATGATGCTACATAGTTTTAAGATACAAACATCTTTTTTTTTTTTCTTCTTTTTCTTTTTACATAAGCAACTTTCCAAGTTAACAGTCACCTCCCACCATCCAGCAGGCTGAGGGATCCTGTAGGAAATAGGGGTGTTTTCTGTGGGAAGCCATATAGTAATATATGAAGTTTTCTCACAGTTTTCTTCCCAATGCCTAATGCTGCTAATTTGCTATGGCTAAAAGGTCAACAAACATACTCCATATACATATTGTGGCAGGAGTAAACCTCCTTGTATATACTGTGCTCAAAAACTGAGTTGTTGTTTGCCCATTACTGCTGTGATTTAGGAACGAAAGCCCCTGAAAAGTAGGCTAGAGTCACTTTTGAGCCTTGCTTACTGGACACATCTGTGCTGTAGTAAAACACAGAGGAAAGGAAAATTTTATGTTTCACATGCTCCTAAATTTTTCCTGATGTGGCTGATTGCGCATGGTCTCCTGTTGACATTATTATTTTTTACATAACTCTGTAAATTTTATTATTTTATTCTTTTATCTATAAAATCTAATGTCTTGATTTTTTAGAGTTTGAATACTTAGAATACTAAAAAAAAAAAAAAAAAAAAAAAAAGATATGTCAAATGTTTGAATTTAGAGCTTTGCATGATATTAGCTATTAAAAAGCATATCAAATGACTTGTCATGGAACTTCTTTGAATTTCAGTAATAAATTTTTGCCACTTCTGGTCAGAACTGGAAAGGAAACTTGATACCCCTCCCATTCTTCAAAAAATTAAAGCATTCATTTTAAGAAGATGGCTTGCAAAAATTCCTGCTCTGACTAATTTCTGACCAATGAGAATCTCTAGTCCAATTTTATTCAGATAGCCAATGGTTGGAACATGATTTTGCCACTTTAATTTATTCATGCTATGAATAAAATTTTGGTAAAATATTCCTTGATTCATGAAACCTCTCTGAAATGCATTATGTTTTTCAGTATAAAGACAGTATAAAGCAACAAAGAAAATATGCAAAACAAAATTATGTTTATAGGGTTTTTGTCAAAGTTGGCTTCCAAATGGTTATTTTTTTTCTGGTCCTTCAGTGGTATAACCCCCCCCAAAAAAAAAAAAAGTCAAAGGAGGGGCTTCTAAATCTGATAAGAGAAAAAAAAAAACATCTGTAATTCATGTAGAAATACTTATATCAAAACTGACAAATATTATATTTTTGGCCGTTTTGAAGAGCTTTATGAATATAACAAAGATAGGATATAGATGTAGTTTAGTAGGAATTAGAACAGCATTAGAAATAATTGCTGTCACTCATTTTTTCTTTAGTTATCAGTTATAGTAAGTTTATTTACACAATCTTTTTGTACTGTTATTATATGTATATATATATAATATATATATATATATATATATATATATATATATATATATATATATATATATATATATAATATATATAAGATAAAGATATATATACATATTGTTCCCTTATGTATTTATGACAATGAGTTGTTTCCAATTAAAGAACACATTCTTGCATATTCTTAAATATGTAAATGCCCTTCATTATTTGACAATCACTAATAGTCAAACTTATTTTTCAGTGATAGATCAACAACCAAGAAGATGGTCTCATTAGACTTGAAGATAAAGGAGAGCAAAGTAAAATCCTCGAAATGGAAACTTGCCATCGAGCACACAGGCAAGGGTCTCCCTACGCATGTAAGTGTTCGGTATCGTATCTTTGCATTGTAGTAGATTGGACAGAATGGATAGAAAACAATTTGTGTAAACCTCCTTGTATGGTTAAATAGATTTTTGTTTTGCTCCTTGTCTGGTTAGTTAAATCATATTGGAAATGTACTTGCGGGTTGATTTTTCTACATCTGTCTGGATTTGTGTATAAGTTTGTATTAATTGCAGTTAGTATTGAGTAAATTTAGATATATGATTAATATTTCATGTTTAAGCACTAGATGATATATATATTGCAAGATCTGTAGGTAAATATGTAATTTATAATTTTGTCTTTGCATTTTTGTAGTTCACTACACATCTGGTTTTTAAGCTCTTCTTGTGAAAGGATTATGTAAAGATACTGATTTAAATACATTTATGCTTCCCTGCAAGCACTAAACCACCCACTTCCACCCACCCTTAACCAACCATCCCCCCCACAACCACACATACATGTACCTACACAATTTTACTTATACCCCCTCATACATATATACCCAAAAATACATATTCATGCCCACATAAACCCCCTACCACCACCACAACCACCACACATGCACACATGTGCGCAGTGCAGACATACCTCCCAAATGCACACATACCTCCCCCCATACACTCAGACCTCCCCTCACACACATACTTGACCCCCACCCCCATACACACACATGCATACCTAAACCCCATGCATTTTACCATTCTTAGCTATCCTTCACCACCTGCATACTTGCACACACATACACACACCTACACACATGCCCCCCACCCCCATTCATATGCTCAAATGCACATAGGAAATGAAATGAGAAGATAAAGGGAAGGGCTCTTTTATTGCAAGGTTACTTTGGAGCATACATAAATGATATAGTGTTAATATGTTTAGGTAGTAGGGATTAGGGCACATCAGTGATAATGTGCACGACAACCTTTGATAGTTTGCGTATCCCTAAACAAAGTTTCTTGTGACAGACGTGGAAAATGGTGTGAAGTAAAATGGTGCTACAATTTGATTATATCTTCATCAGTTGTAAATATAATACATGAAATACATTTTTTTCATATTTTTTAGAAATATGGTCTCCCCAGTGCAGTGTGAATTGACTGCTATTACATAGATGCATTCTATTTTTTTTTTATGAAAAAAAAAAATACTTATCACTTGTCATTCAACAGGAAATATACCTACATATGTGTTAAGAATAACCACAAAATGTTGTTGTAAAATTAAGGCTTTAGATATTTTGAAAGTTGGGTGATTTTGATCTTGTTATTTTTATAATGTGTAAAAAAAAAAAAAAAAAAAAAATACGAGTAAATTTCTGCTTTTTTACAGATATTTGAAGGGAAAAAATCTAAAAAGAAAAGTGTGGAAAAGGAGAAAGAACTGACAACTAAACAAAAGCAGACTTCAATACAACAAGAAGGGGGACAGAAGAAGATTGTAGAGGCAAGGAAAAGGAAGAAAGGAAAGAAATTCAAAATTCAAAGTGAGACATGCACAACAGAAACCAAGGCCAAAGCTAGAAGGAAGAAAAAGCAAGAGTCAAGAAGTATAGCACAATCATGTCAATTGAATAGGAATGAGCAATCCCAGAAGTCAAGTGATCATTTGAAAAGAAAACAGTCAGGAATACCCCAGAAAAGCAATGCCGTGAAAGCAAAAAAGAAGAAAACCAAAAAAACAAACAAAAAACAAAACCCTAGCCCTTCAAAGTCAGAACAAGGCCAGAATCCTACAAAAACAAAGCAGACAGGAAGTCCTGCAACAGCACCAGAAAACAAAAAAGGGAAAAAGCATCCTCTGACTGAAGAGCCTCATGCAGAGGAAAAAACCCTCTCAGATACACATTCATGTAAGAAGAAGAAACAACCTCCAAAGAAGAGAAAGATCACAGAAGAAGCAGAGACCCAGAGCAACAGTGCAAAAGAGCAACCAGCAAAAAAAAGAAAAACTGAGAATGTAAAGAAATTAGGAAATTCCCCACAACTCAGTAAGCCAGTGACAGTTAAGAGAATTAACCAAACCAAGCCTCTGAAGAAAACAACCTTAACAAAAGACTTAAAACTTAAGGGCGGAGTTTCAAAGTATGAAAAGGCAGTTGGTGCTACCGCTTTAGCAGTATACAGTAGAAGGGAAAATGAAAAGCAACTGCTGAGAGAAGCGTTTGCAAAGAATGCCAGCAAATAATTTATATTTGAATGGGGAAATTAAGTGCATCTGTGTTCATCCCCCCCCCCCCCGTTTATATGAAACAATATCTCAAATGTAATTGTGTAATATTTAATATGATATGATCAGTCAGTGGGATTTGGTTTAGTTTTTTTAAACTGAACTAGGGAACTGGTTTTCATTTGCAATTGTATGCAATGGAAATTCATCCCTGTCAGTCTAGGATGTGTAACAATTCGTTATAAAATAGATAAAATAGATATTTTAACTTTTTAAATTTTTGTATCATGGTGTGTTGTTATGTTGATTTATTTAAATGCAAATACTTTGCAATAAATTGGTTTCATTGGTTTAGAAAGTTGCAAGTTGGCAAATATATTGATCTGTATAGTGTATAATAACTACAAAGATGTGTAAAAAAAATTCATGGGGTGTTTTTCAGTAAATTATTTGGTTAATATACATTTCTTACTCTGGTACTAGTTCACACTTTTTGTATAGAAAGAATAATGAACTTGACAAATTTGTGTATGCAAATAATGAAAAAATTATACTGATCTTCTTATGTTTAACTTTTTATTTCCTTATAGTTATTCAGAGAATACTTGTTAAATGCTATCAGACTTCTTGTTTTATTTTAAAACAGAACATATTCATGCCAGTAATTTATTGTAAAGATATTTTATTTAGCTTTCTGTATTTTGCATGACATTTGCAATACACCACTAAGATTTATCATAAACTAATCGTGTTCCAAAACTTCTAGTGGTACGTATCTAAAATCTTGCATATATCAAGGTAAATGAATATTTCATTTGTATAGAGAGGATATATGCTTATATATTATACACATGCAAACACATGTGCATGCTCACTCACTCGCTCATGCATATACGCACACGCACGCACATGCACACACACGCACACACACGCACACACACACACGCACACACACGCGCACACACACGCGCACACACACGCGCACACACACACACACACACACACACACCACGCACACACACACACACACACACACACACACACACACACACACACACACACACACACACACACACACACACACACACACACACACACACACACACACACACACACACACACACACACACACTCTCACACTCTCACACTCTCACACACTCACACACTATTTATGAGGAATCTGAATACGTTACCATATCCACCTGAGTGATAACAGAACAGAAAAAAATACTAATTGTTTTGCTTCAATAAACTGCATATTGAAGGGGTTCAAAATCCAGTAACAATCTGCTGTAAAGATTTACTTGTGTAAGTCTGGTTCTTTTTTTTCTTTCTTTTAAAGATAAAGAATTGGAAATTGAATGTCAGTTCATATTACGCTTGTATTCATTTCATATGTATATCATGATTAGTAAAGTAGCCATCAAAAGTATATACATTATGTCACAGGTCCTTTTAGTATTAGATTAGTTTGGAAAGTTACTTGTTAACAGATATGGAATGGGATAATGGGTTATGTAATGTGTCAATTAGCAAGTTTGTTTATCATTTGAAAGGGTGTGATAAAGATCCAGGAGAGTTTGCTGAGAGAATGATATTAACTGACCAATTTTATGGGAAGAACATTGCATGATACAAGAGAGTTACTGTCTTTTACCATGGAAAGTATTGGTAGGTTGTTTAATTTGTTTATTCCTTAGCTTTTGCTTCACTCTCATGAAAGCTTTAACTACCTTTAAAACACTACATGGCTGTTAGATGTAGATGATTATCTTTTAATTATTTGAATCGGTGAAAGTAAATGTGGAAATGTCCTGTGTAAAGAAGAGGAAATTGCCGTCTTGGCCTTTGCACTAAACCAACAGTCTGATAAAACTCTGCCAGAGGAGGAAAGAAAATGGTTATGAGCAGTTGTTTAGAGTTTATGTTATGTCTCTGATTTTGATCTGCAGATTATGATTTAGCAGAAATTAGTGAAAGGAATTTGTAATATATGTCTAATGTTTTTACATGGATATATATACATTATTGGGTAGGTCTGCATTAATTACTATGGAATTAAAGGATCAATATTTGTTTGTTTCTTTCTAAAATATATATACATGTGTATATATGTATGTATATATATATATATATATATATATATATATATATATATATATATATATATATATTATATATATATATATTATATATATAATATCATCATCATCATGGAGCTAACGCCGACGGGGGCGCATAGCCGCATCCACCCTTCGTTTGTACCTACGAGGGTCCCTGACAGCAAGGCGCCAGGCAGGGACTCTGCCCATCTTGAGCTCCTCATGACAAGTTTGATCGATCTGCCCAAGCCACGACTTCCAAGATCGTCCCACAGGCCTCCTCCACCCAGGGCTGTCTCAAACAGAGACAACCTGGTAGGCAGGATCAATCTGAGGAAAGCGAGCCAGGTGGCCGTATAGCCTGAGTTGGGGATCACGGACTGTGCAGGTAACAGGTCCTGTGCGTCTCATGATGCAACCGTTGGTTGGACACATGGTCCCGCCAACAGTACTCCATGATCCGGTGCAAGGACCTATTACAAAGGGCATGACGACGAGACCAAGGCACAGGAGAATGTCCGGGTTTCACTACCGTATAGCAAAACTGGCATTATTAGGGCCTTGAAGACACGTAGCTTGGTCCTCCTGCATAGGTACCAGCATCAAATACTCCTGTCGAAAGAGTTCATGACCCTTTCTGCCAGGCCAATCCGTCTGCTGACTTCCTGGTCTGACAGCCCAGAGTTATGAACTACACTACCAAGGTATGTAAAGCGCTCTGTTACTTAAATGTCCTCGCTGCAAGCACGTACCGACCGAACAGGTTCTCCTAGTAAGTCCCCAAAATCCTGGATCTTGGTCTTGGTCCAGGAGACTTCTAAATCCAAAGGCTTCGCTTCATTACTGAATGTATCGAGCCACTAAGGATTCCAAAGACTTAGAATAGCAACATCATCAGCAAAGTCAAGGTCGGTAATCTTGATATTGCCCAGAGTTGCTCCACAATTACTGAACAGTAGCTCTGCCCAGTATCCAGTCCATGCAAGTGTTGAAAAGTGTTGGTGCAAGGACACAGCCTTGCTCACTCAACTAACAGGAAAGAAACTTTCAGTACCAGTATACAGACATACTATTAGTCCAATAATACTAGATTTCCTCTCAGTTTCAGGATCTCCCAGAGTGATTCCCGATGCATCGTATCGAACG